ATGGTAAAAATGTTGAGAGATGGGAATCTGTTGGTGGTTTGTAAAAACGAAGAACAAAAGAACAAAGCTCTAAACGTGGAGAATATTTGTAAAAAGAATGTGTTGGACAAAAGAATCATTGGAGAAAATAAAAAAACTAGAGGAGTGATTTATGGGATCCCTCTAGATGAAGATCTTGATAAAATCAAGAAAAGTGTAGTTGGTGCAAAAGTGAATAACTTAAAGAGATTGTCCAAAACAATAAACGGGGAGAGAGTGGGGAGTCTGTCAATACTCATGGAATTCGAAGAGAAAGAATTACCACTAAACATCAAAATAGGTTATCTCAGTTTTCAGGTCAGGCCTTATATCCCTCCACCGCTTCGTTGCTTTAAATGTCAAAGATATGGACACATAGCAGCAGTTTGCAAAGGAAAGCAGAGATGTCCAAAATGTGGAGAAGATCACAAATTAGAAGAATGTAAAGAAGAAGTACAAGAAAAATGTTGTAATTGTGGAGGGAATCATAGAGTTACATATGGAGGATGTGAAGTCAGGAAGAAAGCAAAAGAAGTCACACAGATTAAAATGACTAAAAATATAAGCTATGCAGAGGCAGTTAAAAATGTGAAAGAACAGAAAATAAGAGAGATTGAAAAAACGAGGCAAATTCCACTGCAAAGTGAGATACAGTCAGAGGAAAAGGTTGTGATATCAGTAGAAAAACTAATATTATTTATGGCATATGTTATCAACTGTACTGACCAAGCCAAGAATAAAACGGAGAAGATTAAAATTATAGTGAGGGGAGCGGAAAACTTTTTGGGGTTTAAAGAGGGATCATGGGAGAACGTAAAGAAAAAATTGGAGGTAGACAGGAAGCCAGGAACATCTGGTGGAAATAATTCATGTTAATATTACAATGGAATGCAAGAAGTTTATTGCTAACGGACAGGAACTTAAAGGATATATTGATATTCTTGAGGAAAAACCAGAAATTATTTGTATTCAGGAAACATGGCTAAAAGCAACGTTAGATTTTGAGATTAACGGATTTGGTAGTGTAAGAAGAGATAGGCAGGAGGGAGGAGGAGGTGGATGTGGAATATTTGTAAAAAAAGGGATACAATATCAGGTTTTAGGGAAAGGGAAAGAACTTGAATATATAATAATTGAAATTTGGGAACAAGGTGGTAAAGTTAAAATAATAATTTTTTATAATCCATGTAAATTATTATCAATTGAAATAATGGATGAATTAACTGAATATTTGGAAGGAAAAGTAATTTGGTGTGGGGATTTTAATGCTAATAGTACATTATGGGGTAAATGTAATGATAGAAATGGGAAAATAATAGAAGAATTAATAGAAAGTAAAAATCTTGTATGTATTAATGATGGGAGGGGAACTAGACTTAATGTAAGAACAGGAATGGAATCAGTTATTGATTTAACAATAGTTTCAAATGGCTTAGCGAGTATTTGTGAATGGATCATTGATAAAAATACAACAATAGGTAGTGATCATTATCCCATTACAATAAAAGTAGGATTAAATATAAATAATAAAAATATAAAGGTCAATAAAAAATGGGATTTTAATGAAGCAGATTGGATTAAATTCAGATTTTTAAGTCAAATAAAATTAGAAAAAGTGGATATGGAAATGAATATAGATTAAATAAATTTAAAAATTTGTGAGATAATCTTGGAAGCAGCAGATAAATCTATGAAGAAAATAGGGTGTAAAAATTATAAGAAAATAGTACCATGGTGGACAAATGAATGTAAAGAAGCAATAAAAGTAAGAAACAAAGCATTTAAGGTATTAAGAGGTAATTCAAAATATGAGAATTTAATTGATTATAAAAGAAAGCAAGCAATAGTAAGGAGAATAATTAAGAATGCAAAAAGAGAATATTGGAAAAAATTTTGTAGCACAATAGGGAAGGAAACAAAAATAGAAAAAATTTGGAGAATGATTAGAAGAATGAATGGCATTAAAAGAGAATTCGAATATCCTATATTAAAAGTAGATAATATAAATATAATTAAAGATGAAGCAGAAATATTGGCAAGAACATTCAGTAAAATCCACAGTTCAGATAATATTAGTGAGGAGGGTAGAAAAGGAAGAGAAAATACAAAACTCAAATATAAAGATGTGTTGCAGAATGAAGAAGAAGCAAATAACTTGTTAAATGTTGAATTTACAAAAGCTGAATTGAACTCTTCATTTACAAAACTTAAAAATACAGCACCAGGTAAAGATAAAATATGGTATAGAATGATAAGTCAGCTCAGTGAAAAATCTAAAGAGATAATATTGAAATTATATAATAAAATTTGGGAGGAGGGGAAATTACCAATGGAATGGAAAGAATCAATTATAGTACCAATAGCTAAACCAGGGAAAGATAAATCAAAACCAGAAAATTATAGGCCAATAGCTTTAACATCAAACTTATGTAAAATAATGGAAAAAATGATTAACAATAGACTAGTATATTATTTAAATAGTAAGGGGTATATAGTAAATTATCAAAGTGGATTTCGAAAAGGGAGGAGTACTAATGATCCAACAATATGTCTAGAGCATGAAATTAGAAAGGCACAAGTAAATAAAGAAAATGTGGTGGCAATATTTTTTGATATAGAAAAGCGTATGATATGATGTGGGTAGAGGGATTATTAATTAAATTATATAGGTTGGGCATTAAAGGAAAGATATATCAATGGATTAAAGACTTTTTACTAAATAGGAAAATTCAAGTTAGAATCGGTGAAGTAACATCAGGAGTATATAGAGTAGAAAATGGAACACCACAGGGGAGTATAATAAGTCCGTTATTGTTCTCTATTATGATAAATGATATTTTTAAAGGTATTGATAAAGAAATGGGATGTTCACTCTTTGCGGATGACGGAGCGGTTTGGAAAAGAGGGAAAAATTTAGGTTTTATTGTTAAAAAATTACAAGATGTTATTAATGAGCTAGAGAGATGGGCATGGCAATGGGGATTTAAGTTTTCAGTTGAAAAAACAAAAGTAATGGTATTTACTAGGAAAAAAATAAACAGGGAAGTAAAATTAAAATTATATAGTCAAGAATTAGAGCAAGTAAAGTTTATAAAATTTTTAGGAGTATGGTTTGATGATAAACTAAAATGGAATGTACATATTCAGAAAGTTGTCGATAAAAGTATGAAAATCTTAAATATTTTGAGATGCTTGGCTGGCAATGATTGGGGAGCAGATAGGCAATCTTTGAGACAGTTTTATACAGGTATGATAAGAGCTAACATAGATTTTGGTTGTATTGTTTACGGTTCAGCAGTGAAAGTACATTTGGTTAAATTAGATGTAATACAACATCAAGCATTAAGATTATGTTCTGGAGCATTTAAAACCACATCAAGAGCAGCAATGGAAGTAGAGATGGGAGAAATGCCATTAGAATTAAGAAGATTAAGGTTGGAATTAAATTATTGGTTAAATTTGCAAAGCAATAATATTGATCATCCGGCTAGGGAAATTTTAAAACCATGTTGGGAAAAAGAAACAAAAGAAATGGGGAGTCTTGGATGGACAACTGAAAACAAAATAAAAGAATTTAACATGAGTAGTCTGGAAATTAGTCATAAAACACCAACATCAGTAAAACCACCATGGATTCTACCAGAAGCAACAGTAGATATGACAATAATGGATAAGAAACAGGATAAATCTTTCATCATTGATAGTAGTTCAGTGCAGGTACTTTTAAACAATTACTATCAGTATATTCAAATCTATACAGATGCATCAAAAATAACTGGAAAAGTAGGTATAGCGTTTGTAGTACCAGAATTCAATATAAGAATAGGAAAACGAATTACAGACGGATTATCAGTGTACACAGGAGAAATGATGGCAATTTTATTGTCTTTACAATTGGGAAGAAGAGATAAAACCATTAAAAACAATAATCTGTTCAGATTCAAGATCTGCATTATTAAATATTAAAAACAAGCAATCGGATAGTAGAATGGACATTTTATTAGAAATATTTCACACATTATATAGAATAAAAAATATGGGTGTGATAGTTAATTTTGTATGGGTTCCAGCACATATTGGAATAGAAGGAAATGAGAGGGCAGATAAATTAGCAAAAGGGGCAATTCAAAATCCAATTAGCATTAAAGTTAAAACAAGTAAAGCTGAAGGAAAGAGTATAGTTAAGGAAAAACTGACGGAAAAGTGGCAGGAAAGGTGGGATGAAGAAATAACAGGAAGATGGTATTATAAGATTCAGAAGATGGTAGGAGAAAGAAGAAAGGGAAGAAGAAATAGAAAAGAGGAAAGAGTGATAACAAGGACAAGATTTGGGCATACAGGACTTAACTACTCACTTTTTAGAATTCAAAAGCATGCAACTGGTAAATGTGAGTATTGTGGAGAATGGGAAACAGTAAAACATGTTATTCTAGAATGTGATAATATGAAAGAGAGAGGATATATAAAAAGAGTTTGAAAGTATTAAGGAAAAATTTAATTTAATAGATATTTTGAGGAAGAGTTTTGAGAGCAAACATATACAAATAGTTATTCGATTTTTAAAGAAAATTAAGATATTCAGTAGAATTTGATAGAGTAGACATAAGAGTTAATGTATGGATGATAGTGATGAGTAGAATATAAATATGGATGTAAGTATGTATGTGTAGGTATAAATATAAATATGTTTTTTCTTTTTTGTGTGTGTAGGTGTATGTATGAATATATATAGGTATATATAGAGAGAGAGAGCGTTAGACCAACACGAGCCACACTCCATACCAGTAAGTGGCGGTAATGCTACTCTAAGTTTGTTGCCAACCGCCAATAAACACAACAAGAAGAAGAAGAAGAAGAAGAAAAGCGCTTGTTTGGTTGGACTGTTCATTATGTAACCACCAGGGCGGCAGTGTTCCTGTCTTGCCAGTAGAGGGTGCTGCAGAGCCTAGCGACCTGTCATCCCCGCTTCCAGCTGACCCGCATTCACCAGCGCTGTACAGACACGGGACAGCACCGGAACGCGGCGAACTCGTCAACCGCACCGTGGAGTTTCCCCCCCCCACGTACACCGTGAGCGCGACACTCCGGCCGTCCCGGGACGGCAGGTCGCTGCTGTCGCCTCTTTTCTCTCTTCACAGCGCGTTGAAAGAGGAAAGCGGTCTCTCCCAGGAGCTTCATGGCGAGCCGGCTGAAGCGGACCGGAATTACGCCGTAGCGTTTATTTGTTTCTCTTTTCTTTAATTTGCCGCTCCCGGTGACATGGTTTACGGCGACCCTGCTTGTGGTGCTTTTCTACCCGGAGTGGACTGCGCCGCTACAAAGTGAAACACACAGAGACAGACAGAGAGAGAGAGAGGCGCCTCGCAGTCCGTCACCGCGGTGCAAGGTGAGTGCTGTCCTCACGTCAACCCCCCGGACTTTGTCGGCTTTCCATGAAATGTCAACGTTGACTTTAACCTCTGTCTAAAGAGTCTTTTGTGGCTGTCGTTGCGCTTGCATTGCCTGACAGCCGGAGCCACAAACTTGCTAACCTACATTCTCCGTTAATGGGTCAGGGCAGTGACGTCAGGGGCACGTCGCCAGCATGTAGACCGGGAGGAATGCGGATGTTTCCGGGTGTTCTGCTCGAACTCGTGGGCTTTCTTCCGCGCAGCAAGGGCTCACGGAGTTGAGCTCCAACACATCCAACTGTTTGCTCTTGAAAAGCGATTGGAGACTCGAGAGGGAACGTTTCCGTTTCAAAGCAGGGGCGAAACCAACGGGGGAAGAGAGGGGGCTGGGGATCCACCTCTATTAGTTTGCTGACCACCTCACCGCTGCCTGGGTGGTTCATATTGATTCAAAAAATATTTAACCTTGGAATATTTTATTATCCTTTATGCTTGAAAGGTTGAGATTAGCAATAAAAAAAAAGGTTTTATTGGCTCTAGTGGCCCTTATTTGACAGTGAATTGACAGGAAAGAGGGTAATGAGAAAAAGGGGGAAGTCATGCAAAGGTCACCAGGCTAGGAATCGAACCTGTGGCAGCTATGTCAAGGACTAAGGCCTCTATATGTGGGTTGTGCTTAACTTCTGAGTCACCACAGCACACCCAAGATTAGCACATTTAACAAGAAAGAAACTTGTCTGTGGGACATAACTCCAATTTCATAAATGTCCTATTTATGGGCTCTGTTTTTGACTTTTCAAACGTAGAAACGTCCATGTTTTTTTTTTCTAGAAAATGTCTGAGATTAATTTTAATCAGAGATTTTTGATGGAAATGTACTTCTCCTTTTGTCTTTTATATCTTATTCCCCTAAAATGCAGTCTTATATTTCAGCTTAGATTGTGCTTCAAGAACAATATTTGCGCTTGTGACACTGTGAATGCTGTGGCATGCAGTCAATGTCCTAACAGACTACTTATTAACTAAAAAAAATATTTTTTATCCTTATTATCACAAAAGCACCACAAAATATCCCAGTAAAATTCCATGACTGCAACACAAACTCACTTTGTTAAATCATCAATTAAATGTTATTGATCACTTTTTTTTTTTACTTTTGTAAAGTTCATTGTAGATTTTGAGCTGTATACATAATTATGAAAATAGAGTGGTGATAGTGTGATGATCTGGGCCTGCTTTGCTCTTCAGGACCTGAATGATAAAGAATATAGCTATGAAATATGAAGTTTTGTTTCTTCTGAAACATTTAAGTGTGACAAAGAACCATTAACTGTAAAAACAAAATGTATAAATATGCCTTTGCTTAGAAGACATTGTACCTGCAGGTTTTGCTGATGTAGTGTTACACTTGCTTATATTCAGGCTGCAGAGCTTTATTGGGTTGTGTAGTTTTAATAGTGAGTGTTGAGCTGTTATCCATCAAAGTTTCTGTTTCAATCTCCACACAATGTCGACACAATCCAGTGGACTGTTGGAGCTGACTGTAGCAGGGCACTAGCAAGATGTTAGCGTGCATCTCACCTAGTCTGCTGTCACACCACATTTCATCCATCAGCACGTCTCCCAGCAGGCTCAGGAAGACAGCGATGGCGCTGGAACAAGGACCACTTCAGATGACTGGAGAAAGTTATTTTTGCAATAAACAAAATCAGCCGCCAGGTCGCACACGAAGATCTGCCGATGGTCTCTGAGACTCTACAGAAAGCTGGAAGTGCCATTGCTAATATCTCTTAAAGGTCCTAGAAAGCGAGTGCTTTCACACACCGCTTGGGAGAGTTTTTACATTTTCCATCATTCTTACAAAATTTCCCATTTGGAACACATACAGTGTCTTGTGGACGTATTCATAGCTCTTGAACCTGCTCATATTTCGACATGTTGGGACTGAGGGTACACTGATTACAATTCCGTCTGGCTGATACTGAGTTTTCCTGTGGTCTGAAAAGTGTCTTAAGTTTGCAGCATTTTGGTGGTTATTGTTTTAAGTTCAGTTGGGTCAGTGAGTCTCAGAGCAAAAGGAGACAGTGCCTGATTTTCAGTCCTCTGCAGAAGTAGATAAGATCAGTTTCACAGGCAAGTATTGGCCAATCACCAATTTTTTATAGTTAAGAATATTGGTGCTGCGCCATCAGTGAAACGCTGCATTTTTTATGTGATGTAGCAACAAACTACCTTCTTACTGTTTAGCATTGAGATGCTATTTTAGTCTTGAATGGCTTCACTGATGGGCTATTTTCCTTTTTTTAAATGGTAAATGGTCTGAACTTTGTGCTTTTCCAGTCATTTTGACCACTCAAAGCACTTTACACTGGAGTCACTTTACAGTGTCTGAATCACTTTCATACTCACAACGCACGCACATACGCAGATCAGTAGGCAATTGGGGTTAAGTGCCTTGCCCAGGAGCACATCAGCATGTGGCAGGGGTAAACTGGAATCGAACCTACAACCTTCTGATCAGAAGATGACTACTCTCGGCTCAGTCACTCCCATTCACAACTTGAACACAACAATAGTTTTTTCCAGCAGTCAATCAGATCAGTTTTTGAAGCAACAATATGTCCTTCATCACTCGTTCTTCTGCCTCCTCTTTGTGGAGTGCATGTCTGGGTGCCGTGGTTCACTGCGTCTGCTATGAAACATCAGAACAGGAAGCAAACTGCTGTGGAGCGAATCTGACCATCAACTGATTCTCCTTTCATTTCAGTCACACAGAAAAAAAATCATTCATTTTGAACACTGTTTCAGACTTCATTAAGCAAACTCTCAGTGTGACTTTACGTGGTCTGCTGATGTCCGCTGATGTCCACTTCAGCACCGGACAGCTCCTGAAAGTGGCACACCTCAGGGAGCCAACTCGCATATCAACACACTGTTAGGAAGGATATTAGGACAATCACTGTAGCACATCAATAATGTGTCTGCAGTTGGATGGACTGGTAGTGATGTACGAGTTTAGTGTCTGAGATGTTAAAACTCACAGAAGGAAGTGAGGACAATCTGTAATGGTGAAAACAAATAAAAAGAAGCATCTGTAATAAAACCATACCTTAAAAAAAACCCTTTTTCAAGCGTTTTTCTCACTCGATCCCATTTTTCCCCCCTCTAATTTTAAGACATTCTTATTGTAAAATTGCATCTTTATTCCACTAATATTACGTCAAAAATTCTCCAAGCCTGGCACTAATAGCCCGTTGTACAACTCTCAGAATGGATGAATGAAATAAAAATATTTGTGACAATATTCCCTGCCATTTGTATTTTCGTTTTTAGATAGGAAAAATTGATTAAAATTGGATCTGGCATGAAAAAAAAAATCGGATTTTATTTGTAACTCATATTGCCTGTCCGTAATTTATTGTGATGGGAATCTATTTCCCCGAATCTCAGAGCCGCGAGATTAGGTATTATAACTCGGTATTATATGGAGCAGCGTTTATCACATCATTTGAGCAAAAGTTTCAAACAGTGCAGATAAACGTTTCCACCGTGCAGAACTAACCAGAAGCGTATTGAAAAGTGAGCCTTGAATGCATGTGCGATGGATGGACGCACGTGGAAACGTATCATCCATGTGATGTTGTCTCACGTAGACCGACCTACGACCTGCCAGCAGGCAGACATGACCTCCTCTCATGTCCTGCCCCTCCCTCTTTTCCCCTGAGGCCAAAAGCTGCCCTCTCCCTCTGCCCCTGCATGTTTCTATATGTGTGTGTGAGGTTGCATAAGTAGAGCGTCGAGGCCCACTGTCTGCTTCCCTCTTCCACATGCAGACAGACTCACCGATCTGATGAATCGTCCTCATTTCATTTGTAGCGTTAGCAGACGCCACAGAAGGCTGGCAGACATTTTTTTTCCCCCAATTCAACATCATTATGAACTGTGGCATCCTGGCTAGCGGCTAGTTAAATTAGCGGTTGCCATGTTATGGTTCCAGATCCTGTCGAGCTCCGTTGTAACAGAGCTGCTCTGCTTCAGCAGCAGTAGTAGCTGTGCTGTTCAATCTCAGTCTCCTTCAATGTTCACAAACTGCTTGATTCATCAGTGTTTCCTTCTGTGTGTCAGACAAACGGAGTGTGATTACACAAGCCTGAGAGCTAAAATAAACACGCCGCCGCCGAGGCGAAAAGTCGCAAAGATGAAAATAGATACAACAATAAGGTATACAGAGCGACTTATGTTGTATTGCTATTGACTTTTTGACTTAGGCGAATGATGTAGTGACTTTATGAGAGGGCTTGTTACAATAAACAACAAATCAATTGTTAATTTGATTATTAAAATAAGCTCAACAAGTAGTTTGCATGATTTATTAATTTTTTTCTCTCCAGTCTGGTGTTGTGTTTACAGAGACTTCATAGTTCTGTTTTGTGTTGCTCTGTTTATTTATTTTGGAAATTTTAAATGTTTGGTGTTAAATGTCCATCAGAATGGGACGTTTAGTGATCTTTAAGAATGTGTTGTTGCATTATTCTGCCAATACTATCATAATACTTGAAAACAGTCTCAAAACAACATTATCGTGTATCGCAATAACATCCGGGACAATTTATCGTCCAGCAAAATGTGTTATTATGACAAGCATATATATATAAGAACGCCAACATAAAAAATAACACTAAATTAATTATACACATTTATTTTCAAATAGATAAAAAAAAATTATTAGAATTTCTTTTTAAAATAGTAGACCATTATGAAATAGACCTCTATAAGTTTGTTTTTAAGCTTATATTCTTTTACATCATTGACATATATGACGTTCATGTCTTTTGAAATTGTTTATCTCTTTTCATGTTACATCCACAACTTCCTGTAAACTTAATTGGGGTTTTATGTGACAGAAACCTTCAAAACATATGGAAGTTGTCAGTTGTAAAGGGAGAATGCATAGAAAAAGACTTGAATACTTTGTAAAGTCTTCCTCTCCAGCCTTTATGCTGACCCCAGTTAACCCTTCAATGTTTTAAACGAGTTATCACTTCTGTGTTGTTCAGCTGTGTTCATCCACTTATCAAGACGGAAATTCAATCTGATGTTTTAAAGATTAGACTGCTGTAAAGTATAAAAGCAGGTTGGACCCCTGAGCAGCTTTTTCACAGTCTCTCGCTCCTGGAAGCCCGAGTCTTTCGCTGTCTGACAGATGTGTGTTATCGCTGCTGACGTCACGACTACTTCAGCTCCTGCAGAAGCTCAGCACTCGTTGGCAGCTTCTCTTCCTCCTGCGAGCCGTTAAAGTTTGGTTTCAGTTCAGGGGAGTGTGCAGCAGAACCTGGAGTAAATTCTGTCCCAATCTGTCAAACAGTGTCGACACAGTTGTTAGTGTTATCGGTTAGTTAAAGTACACATTGTTCGTAACAACTCCAGAGCTTTGGTGAGATAAATGAACTATAACAATCGTTTTGTTTAATCAGAACCTGACAGAAGTGGAATCTGTCTCCTTGATTATGTAACGTGCTGAAATGAAATGGACCTGTTACACACAATATCTGACTACAGGATTCCAAGGAAAAGGAGTCTACTGTGGTTGACAGCACAATTTGTCCTATCTGTAAACACAAAATATCTACCTGCTTTTAATCTTTATTGTCCTTCTAAATCATTGATCTTTTTTTTCTGGCTATCCTTCATATGATCTGATGGTTATGCGTCTGTTTTTATGTCTCTTGACAATCTGGCCTTTTTTCTGTTCTGTCTCTTGTTATCTGGCCTCAGTGGCTGATTATTATGCAACAACCTTCCAGGTTATGGAGGACTGATCCTGCCAAAATGTGCAGCTGATATACAAATATATATATGATTTGATAATGTAATTAATGGTTCAGACATTGCAACCAAAAAAAAAAGAAAAAAGAAAAGACAAAGACATTCCCTATTAATGTGAACAAGTTCATAAACTATTTGCTCAGCATTTACAACACTATATATTTTTGATTCATTTTATTTATTAAACAACAAATCAATTTTTGGGTCTGTGTGCAAATAAAATTTCCCCTTTGATTTTCTGAACTACTTAGACAACGTTCCTCTAGTGTCTGGCTATAAATCATTGTTTTTTTATTTTTTTATCATTTTAGCATAATTTTATCCTACATTCATTTTACTTAAGGAACTCTGTCTTTCTTTCTGTTCCTCATTTTACTAACAAAATGCTGACTCGTAACACATGACAGCTGCTTTTTTGCATAAGTTGTGAATGAGATCACAGTTGGCAAGATTTTTTCTCTTTTCATGTCAAAATGTATAAATATTTTTTGTCATCATCTTTACATCCAACTGCTAGTGATCTCTAATTCATCTTCAGTCTTTTTTTTCCCCACTGCTCTGGTCTTTGACGTATCAAAATCTCACAATGATTAAAGCTATTAAGAACAGTAGAGTTGTGTTTTGTTACTTAACATTTAGAACAGTCAGATTCAGATCCAAACAACAACCAGTTCATTAAGTTTGATCTTAGGTCACAATGTCTTCCAGTTTCAGTCTGCACTGCTTCTGTCAGTGTAAGTTGGAGAGACAGGAAGTCCTGGCTCCTTCTTCCAGACTGATGCATATTACATGGAACGTCTCTTCCCTCGTGCACACTGGTGTCTCCAGTTGGCTTCCGGTATTGCATTAGTTTGAGTCATTGTCATTTGCAGTTTCATTTTTCTGCTTGACTGGACCTCTGCTGGTGCCTCAGAAGCTCCATTAACAGCAGCAACTAAAGATTTGACTGGATGCAGTTTAAGTTGACGACAAACCTGCCACTGGTGTTTGGTTTGGGTGAGTCTAATGTTTAGGTGCTGTTACTGGTTTGTGTGAGAGGAGATTTCTGAAAGTGTCAAATTTAGCACATTTTAGCAACAAGGCAGTTCAAAGTGCTTTACATTATAAAAACACATACAGCCATCAGTCATTACAGTGTAATGTAAACATTACATTTGGTCAAATGCCATCATCAAGTCACATTAAAATCTGTTGATCAGTGAAGCCTCTGAATTGTGAATCAGAGGCTTAAAGGAGATCAGTGTTTTGAGTGTTTTACAGCTTTCCAGATTTGTGGCGCATAGAAGCTGAATGCTGCTTCTCCATATTTGGTTCTGGTTCTGGAGATGTAGAGCCGAACCAGAAGACCTGAGAGGTTGATACAGCGACAACATGTCCTTGATGTATTGTGGCGCTTCAGCGATTTATAATCGACGCTTTACTGAATAACGAGTAATCTACCGCGTTGCTATTTCAAATCCAATAGTTGGACTACAGTTACTTATCAAAATCACTTTGCGTTGCTGTCCACAAAACACACAAAAACATGGACAAATTAATTTATTTTTTTTTGTACTGTTGTAACCATTAAACCTCTGCTTGCATTCAACCATATAAGTGGAGACACATTGTTGATGTAATCATAATAAAATAAATTGCAATTAAGTTTTGGCAAAGATCAATGTCGTTTTCACAGGAAAATTGTTGTCAGCAGCTGCTGAAAGTAACTAAAAAAAGTTACTTTTAATGTAACTAAGTTACTTTCCAAATCAAGTAATCAGTAATCTAACAAAGTTCCTTTTTGAAGGAGTAATCAGTAATCCAATTAGTTACTTTTTCAAAACAACTCTGCCATCACTCTTAATAACCCACAACAGTATTTTAAAGTCTATTTTCTGAGCTGCAAGAGGACACAAGCTGCTCAAAAATGTTAATATTCTCCAAGTTAACATTTGTAGGTGTCATGGCAGTCAGAAACTGCTCTTGTCGGATCAAATCAAAATTGAGTTTTTACTTGTGCACAAATCTACAGGGTTACATGGTTGTGGCTGCATCATGTTGTTGGACTGCTTTTCTTCAGCAGAGATAGATGGGTGGAGACAAATAGATTGGCATTTGTTTTTAACTTGTTTGAAGTTACAACGAGTCGATATCACTGTGTTAAACGGACCAGAGCTGAGATGTAGTGAGATTAACCGGGCAGTTTACTCTTTGGGTGTATCCCACAACTGTGGGTGTACCTCTGTGAGTTCAAGTACCCATGGGTGATAAGAGGATTACGCCACAACAACTTTGCCTGCTAAGCCAGTCCGACGGCTTCTCTTGCACATTCAAGTCTTCACATTCGTTTGGCATTTCATACATGTATGCGCTCTATATCTGGCACGACGTGTATTTGCATTCTGTTTTGTGTTTCATTATTTCATTATGTGTCAAGTTTCTAAAGTCCTGCCTTTGCTTCACTTTGAACTACCGAGATTGCCGTGAGCCTTTTACAAGATTATCCTAGAGATAAAGGAAAGCATACGTTATGGTAATGATTTAAATTATTTGCTTCTTTGACACAACCAGATGTTTCAGATCATCATAGAAATTTAAACATATTAATACAAGGCCAAGTTTTGAGCTTAATATGGCACTTGCCTGCTGATGCAGGAATACAAAAATGCCTGAATACAAAAGTTAGATGGTGTGAGAAAAAAATAGATGTTGGGAGACTTCAGCCATATCAAGACTTTTCTTCTTTTGAATCTTGCTTGTGTTGACGTTATTGCCATTTGTTGGACAAGGAGATGTATTCCATCGTTTTTAACTTGAATCCCATTGGCCAAATTAACATTAAGTTAAGTTAGGGTGTGCCAGATTGGGGTTAGAGTACTACAAACACTACAATTCTTACAAACTCTTATCATGCTCTTAAATATTACATAAACCACACACCTGTTACTTTGAAGCTGTACTGATTATTTCCTTGTTTTATCTTCCACAGGTGGACATCCTGAGACAACCGATCAGTTCTTGTCAAAAGGCAGAGGCGTGTATCAAGTCTTTACCCTCAATGGACCCAGACAAATGCAGCAGCAAACTCTAAAAACTGATGGTAGCACCTTTTTTTTTTTTTGCCTCCAACGATCGTCCCACAATGTTCCCAGAGAAAACTCTTGTGCTCTCTATCTCATAGCACTCTAGAAGTCTTCTCTGTTTTACTCAGGTCTTTTATTCCAATGCCTACCTCCTCCACTAAAGCACTGTAGCCAGAGACGACCTGTTTTACCTTCTAAACTCTTCAAACTGATGAAGAGCATTGACTTAAGACCTCAAACTTCCTGTCGTCTATAAGCTACAAAGCAGCCATACTGATCACTGAGAGCTTGGTCCAGTGGAAATTATTCAAACTGGAAGTCGGACAATAGCTTCTTCAGCCTCTCATCGTTCACTTGTTGAATCTAGCCGAAAGCTATATACCTCAGTTATTATTTTCTGGAAGAAATTTGTGTGCAAAAACCACAAAGCGACAATCATTGACGGAATTGATCCAACAGACAGGAGTTGATGTCCAAGCAAGGTGCAAGCTACAAAGTAGGGAAGCAGCACTTAGTGTCTTTCATTTGCTTTGGGGAGAAAAAAAACTATAACCAGGGAGAAAATCAGAGTACTGCCTTGGAGAAGACATAACTTCATGTTTCCCAGCACATAAACCAGATTATCGAAGCTATCTAAATACACCAGCAAAAAAACACAAGGGGCTTTCAGTGAGCGTATTTCTACACCTGAAGCCTCCAAGCAGCAGAAGAAGGGCTTGAAAACTTCACCAGCTGTTTCTGTGCTGCAATTGAGACACAAAGAAACTTCCTGGGAGATCAAATGCAAATAATCTTCACAGGTGGCAGAAGGGGCGCAGAAGAACTGAGCAAGTGAAGAAGGATGTAAATGGTGAGTTTTTTTTCTCTTATTTTGGGTTGCCATGTATGTTGTAAGGGTTTGAACATGAGAAAATGAAGTCCTGTCAAGACTGTGACGTGTCACATGTGTGTTGGAAAAACAGGGTTGCGGAATATAGATTCGTGATATGACAGAACAGTTTTCATGTGTTAAATCAAAAATGATGTTTTAGTCATTTCAAGCTTAAGACTTTAGATTTCAGTCAGGTTTTGAGAAAACCTGACTTGGGAACATCTCTGTAAGACCCAAAAACTGGAGTTCAATTAAAGTCCGAAGAGGATTGGTGTGTACGAATCCTTATAATACCAACCTGACATGAAGATGAAGCTGAAGTTGTATCTGTTTTAACAAACATTACCTGTAATTGTTTTTAAGGAGGCCAGTGGTACTAGTACACCTGTTGGCAGGCATCTGAGTGTGTAATTTGGCTATTTAAACAGTCTGTACGTTATTCCTCTACAGAAATTTGGAACATAAAAACCATCTCAGAATCTATGTATGTATGTAGGGGTTTTATTTTTAATTTTTTTGTGCTGATGTGTTATGGGCTAGTTGGATATATTAAATTTTCCTTGTGATAAATAAAGCATTTCTATATCTCTATCCGGTTTATAACTTCAAACTACAACTAAGAAACTGGAAACTAGAAAAACTCTTCATCAGACAATGAAATGACTATGCAGTTTGTGGTTCTATTGGCTTTTTATGCTCACAGATGGAAACAATCATTTTCTCATTTATTATTTCATTACTGTTTATCTCTAGCTGGCATTTAAATGTCATTCGAGACGTTTTACGATGCAGAGCTGAAACGGTTGTCAAACTCTTCTGTTAATAACTGAAATGAAAATATTCTAATGCCGAAAAAGACCAAATTTACTCCAGCTTTAGTGGTTTAAATATCAGCACATAATAAAACTGATCAAGTCTTTATTAGACTCAAATCTCCCTACGGAAGTCAACAACTGGTTCATTTATTTAACAAAAATGAAACAGAAAACCTTTTTTTGAAAAACTAAATACACCCCATGATTCAATAGCTTGAGTAACTTGAATCAATCCATTTCTATATGATGTCGCTCATTCCAGTCAGTATGGGAAAAAATGTGAAATTCTGATTTCCTGATGACATAATTCACTGCATGAAACTTTAGTTTGTACAATAAATCTTAGGGGTCTGGAAGGTATTGATTACCCTGAAAGCAAAGGAATCCCAGATCATAAACCCTCCACCACCATGTATGGAACATAAAACTGTGCCGCATAACATGGCCAGGAATCTTCACTTTGTTCTGATCTGTCAAAAGAAGGCGTCTCAGTAACATTGTGGTTTATTCAAACACAACTTTTAAAAGCTAACAAAAGCTAACATGCTAACCTAACCCCCAGGGTAACGTCAGGGGTTAGGGTTAGTCATGTTTTTCATTGTACAGTAAATATGACAATATAATGCACTAGTGGTATAATTCAGAGTTTGTTTTACATTTCACATATATATGAAAACTTAACTCCCTGCAGATTTATGAATGAAAATCCAGTTTTGAGCTACATATTCTAACCCTAACTTGCACTTATTGGTCCATATTTTTGCTTTCTTTGTTCATAAAAGCTGACGTTGACATCTGAACGGTTGCCACATTTGAGATGTCAACAATGCAATTATATTGATGTGATCATCTCTGTGTAAACTTGTCAGAATTAGAGGAGGAGAAACCAGTGTGATGGATGGGTCTCTGTGATGAAAGTGGAACTAAAATATGGCTTTTTACAGCAGAAAGAGATCCAGACACATTTCAAACATCATCTTTGATCTTCTTTTCAAATCCTTTACGCTCTTCCCTCTGGTTGATGTTGCCACAGCAACACATAGCCCTTCCTCCACCATGTGAGGCTGTTCATTTCAGTGACATACAGAAGGTAAAGGTAGCTGTCAGAGAAAAGGCTTTTGCAGAACAGGAGTGAAACACACCATACACCTAACTCTATAGAATTGGGCTGTTAAGACAATTAGACAGATTTAAAAAAAAAAAAAAAATCGGAAAGTATCTTGTGGTCTTTTTGGGAAATTTGTCTGGACCAGTTTTTCCCATCCAGAGAAAAAAGTTTTTGCCTATTTGTCTTTGAAAACAGTTCCTGTTGGCGTCAGGTTAAAGTGCGGTGATAGCTAAAGGTCTCTTAAATGTAGAAGGATGCTTGTAGTGTTTATTTTATTTTTTGGGTATGCTAACAAACCAGAAGAAAACTGCTTCCCTGTATTTTCCTAAAATAGTGCATCAATACTAAATGATATGGAATAATCCATGGTGATTCAGTCTTTCATACAACTTTATGGGTAAATCAGTCAGACTAAAATCAAATGTGTTATTTAAACAATTTAAAAAATATGATTTTTGCTAATAAATATTCAACACATATATTTTTAAATTCATAAAGCAGAAAAATAACCAAAATCCGTTTTAAGTGTTTATTAAACCAGTGGTACATTAAGATTTTTTAAATTATTATTATTATTTTTTTACATGTTTTGATCTCGCCTGTTTCTGCCTCAACACTAATTTTAGTTTTCCCACTAAAATCTGCATGACATCCCATTTTGCTTCAACAGAAATAAGCCAGACTGCTAGAAAAGGCCTATTTTAGTTTCTTTGTCTTTCTAGATGTTTCCATTGCTGCAACACATGGAAGCCTGAATGCAAAAGCTTCTCAGTAATTCATTGCTATTATTGAATTTAAGAATAAAAACCCAAACAGATAATTGTCTTTGCCCCTCACAGTTATGTGCTTGTCTGTGTTGGTATATCACAGACAATCCTAATGAATTATAATGACGTGCATTTAAAACCACAGGACATTTACTCTCACTGAATAAAAAGTACAGTTTTTTTTTTGTTTCCGCACAGTCACAAGTTAAAAGACACCAAAATAATTTCTATTTGCTTAAAATGTACGACATGGATCAAACCTTTTAGGAGATGGTTATCCCTGTTACCAGCCAAATGTATGTAAACATTTGAATTTTAGAAAATATGTACATATTTTTTATATTCTAACCAAGCTTTCTGTCACTTACCAAATATAAATAACTTCAGTAACTTTAACAAAAAAAAGAAAACTTTGGTCTAATTTAACTTTGAACAGTTTGTGTCTTTTTATTCAGTGTAAGTAAAAATCAGATTTCAACTGTATGTGCAGTGTGTAAAATTATGAGTAAACACCATTGTGCAATATTTGAGTTACTTAATGTCACCAAACATTTTTTACTCAAACATCTAAAATATCAAGTACTCTGTTTTGCAGTCTGTGGCTCACGTAAATTCAATATTAACATAATTTTTCCCTTTTAAAGCATTGAATCAATATATAAATCATGTAGTTCCTTTCTTTTTAAATAGCTGTGATTTTGTTTCTTGAAGGTTTCAAATGGCTGTGATAACATATTAAATTCTGCGATGCTAAAGCTATCATGAGTCACAGTGCAAAATGAACATATTTCACAGTGTTGGCGTGAAATGGTGCTCACATATTCACCATCAGGCTGAACGTACTTCAACTCCGTCTCCGTGATGATGAAAGTTCTCTCCTTGTAAAAGTCAAGTGTGACGGCACCCCTCCACCCCGCGGCTGGACTGCCCCTTTAACCTCCAGCTCATAATGACGAGCACGCTCCTCAAGGTCGTCCTCCACAGCGAGGGCTCCCGAAGGGACGGGTGAGGGAGAAAAACGTTGGAAAATTCCAATCAACCCTGTTTCCGGTAATACCCAGCTCCGATTTCTCTGCCCAGATTGTCTGAATTTTGAAGTTGGTCATTTAGGGACTTAATCAAGAACGGTTCTGTGCAGCATTGTTGAATAGTGGCAAAAATCACAATCTTTTTGATTGCTTTCTTCCTGATTGCAATAATTCCCATATGTTAGCCTCCATCAGTCCACAACTAAATGTATGGCAGACTGCTTGATTTTACCAGCTATTTGCTAGTGCAATAATGATATATTTTCAATATATTGAAATCATTATTGTCATCATTATTGCAGGATCAGTGTGCGCAATATCCAAATCGCAAAGGACTGTTTGGAAAGCAGTAATTGTTGATTAATATATTTTGAGTTGTGAAGCTGATGCAGTATTTAGCCAGTTGGACAGTCTCACAGTAGCAAAAGCTCACGCCCAAATTTCTAAAGGTCGTAGTTGGAGTAGTGTATGAGGAAGCACAGATTAGAAGGAAAGGAAAGAAGGAACCAGATGTAATCTAAGCCCGATATTATTATCACAATATTTACCAATGTTATCGCCGTTGCAAGATCTTCCAAATATCTAGCAATCCTACTAGCTGTTTTCATGCCTTTGTCATTCAAGTTTTGAGGAAACTATTACAATTCAGCATACGTACCGTGGCTGAAATAAATACAGGGTGGAAACCAGCATGGAGCCCACATCTCAGACAAATGAAGAGAATGAAACTGGGGACATTACTTCAAATTTTGTTGCTCACATCAACCTTTTCTAATGTGTTACATCAAAATGCTCTTAGAAATTGTTGCTTGTAATACAGCTGTTGTGTCACTGTTTAGTAGCCGTCTGAGCTGTCTAAATACAATTTTAGACAGCAATAAAATACAATTTTAAATACAAAATTTTATAAATAAACACAATTTCAATTCCTGAATTAGTACCACTGTAGAACGAAAGGTTTCTGTCTTTGTCCAGGAAGTTAATATTTTAGCATACTAGCATGTGGCATTGTTTGGCGTTTCTCTGTATGACTTCAGAGGGAAAGTACCTCCAAGCAGCGCTCTTGTTGTTTGCATTGTTAGCTAAAGAAGCTACATGTTTGTTTGTTTTTTTTGTTTTTTTTTTGCAAATTGTCTTGGTCTGGAGAGGCTTGGGGAGGACAGAGAATGTGTCTGTTATTGCATCGTTGTTGACGGTACAAGTAAGACTGGCTCAGTTTCTATCAATGTTGATGCAAAAGAATATGTTTAAAAAAATGTTT